CTTTTAGGTTGTTGGTTTTTTTTTTAATCAAGAGTAATCCCCCCCCCCAAAAAAAAACAAAACCTAAAACAAGTTCTGAGATGCCTTTATTTTGAAAGCATGTCTATAACTAGCCTCTAAAGGACTTAAAAGGAAGCAAACAACCCCCACGTTAATTATTCTCTTGCTTTTAAAAATCTAGAATTATCCACCTAAAAATAAAGGTAGGAACAGTGAAAGCCAAGTCATCAAATTCCAGTTCTTCCTTCATAAAGCCTTTGCCCTCCCAGCTGGTTTGTGTGCTTACTTCGCAGTCTGCAGTACAGGGAAGACTAACAAAGAATTACTAATTAAACAACTGCTTGCAAAAATCTGGGAGTTTGAAAACTTGCTGCAGTGAATGATTGCTCCAAATAAGTCTTGCCACTGCATACCCACAGACATGTGATGATATAAATACACGTCATTGCACTCAAATCAGCATCACCCACAACCATTCTTCACAAAAATGTGGCGAGACATTAATTTTTATAAGCCATCCCAGGCCTAAAGTGGCAGATGACCCCTCCAGAGCTGGGAATCCCCTTTCCCCTTTGAAATGTGAGAATTTCTTTACCCTGTGCCCCTAAGATTCCAACATCATGTTTTGCAACCAGTGACTTGTGCACTATTTAACACATGACAAGCTTCTTACACAATTTTCAAAGCAGAACATACTGTTATTTGATCCTTATCTAACAAATTTAACATAGGACTAAGAGCCAGCTTCTAAACAGATCCACCTCCTTCCCTGCAGATACCAAGGAGCACTTGCTGCCTTTAAAATCTACAAGGTGCTGGCTGCACACAGCTGATTTCCATCTGTGTGTGATGAAAGGTGACAGTCACACAACAGAGAAACACCCGTGAAGTTCAGCTGTAAGAATACAATCCTTTTGCCACCCTCATTTTTGACAAACAAGCCAGACCTTGAGGCTTTAAACATTAAAAAGCAAGTGAAGTGAATGATTCCTCACAGCTGTGAAGGCGTGTTCTTCATGTAACCATCATCAGAGTCAGTTTAGGGAACAGAAAGAATTAGAGCAGTATTAGATATGCTCCAATTCCTCCAGTATTTACCTTAAATTGTGTGGCCCCAGTCCAGTGTCAGGGGGCCCCTCCACAAAGCAGGATTTTGTGCTGATAATGTTAGCTCTGTGTCCATTACACTCTCAACCTCCTCAACATTTTGTCATTTTGAAGCCTATTTTTCTCATTGCTCAGAGTATCCTTCGTTTCAAAAATCAGGAATGAGAACACAGATTCTCCTCCCTGTAAGACAGCCAGACCTACAGGGGGGAAAAAAATGAGCTTTGGCTACTCCCTTCTTCAAAACAAGGCTCTCATGGAGGGCAGACCGCTGGTAACAGCTCTGCCCATGCAGGCTGTGCTCTGCTCTCCCACGGGAGTGCCTGTGGATGCTCCACAGCTGACAGCTGGACCACCCATGTCCTCAAAAAGCAAGCTAAACCCGTAGCTTTGCAGCCTGAAATGCAGGAACAGCCCTCAGTGAGGGCACAGACTCAGACGTGGGATGACACCGGCCAAGAGAGTCAAGATGAAACACATTTCCCAGGAACGTCACCAAGTCCAAATGTCTGTGTCCAGAAGGAACTGCAGCTGCCTCCAACACCCAAAGCCATGCAAGATGCTGGCTATTGCCTGGTCTGGTCCCCATTGAGGGTCTGTTGAGGCTCTGCAGCTCATCTTCACCCAAACATCCATCATTTGTAGAGATCCCATAGCTTCCCCCTGACTGTCCACCCAAATACTAATCCTAACAGTAAACTCGCTTCCATTATTCCACCTGCCCCCACATTAGGTGTCCTGCCACCCTCTACAGCAAGCAGAGGGACTGACCTTGCCTGTGCACACACAGGGAAACAAGGAGCAACTTCAGTGACAACGTGTGTTTAAAATCCTGCCCCCGCTACGTGCACACATGCCAGCAATGGAATGAGGGAACAGCACCCTCATCCAAAGGAGAATCTGCTCCAGGCTAATGCACAGAGAGTTATTCTTGAGGCTTCCCCTCTCCAAAGCAAACAGGAGCATTCCTTATTCCCCCCTGCTTAGTTAAAAAGCCCACCACACATTCCTGGGCACTGGCCTACCCCAAGCAAATCATGCGATGAGAACTTCTGCGCTGTAAATCCCTGGAAGAAATCGGCCTAACTTGGGAACGGCCTAACAATTGCTACCTTCTGATGAGCCCTTCGTGGTCTGCAAAGAGCACCACAAATCTCAAGAGACTTGTTTTCACATCGTTAAAGCCACCCACAGAATTGGCCTCCACACTGAGGGTTTCAGTAAAAAATGAAGGAGAGTTGCCACCGGACACGTCGGAGGCCGGGGCCACAGCGAGCAGGTCCATCCCAGCCGTACCTGCCTCAGGCTCCAGCGCTTCTGCCCAGCCACACCTCACCTGCCCAAATCTCTGTTCCCACAGGGGAAGAAAACACTGCTGTGGCAACTGTCAGAGCCGACTCATCGCGGGGTGGGCACCACCACTTCGCCTCAGGGCTGCAGCAAAGCCATTTTAAAGCTCCCAGAAAAAGAGGATTAAAGAAATGGAAGCCACAGCACGAGCAAGATTGTGCTCAGGCAACACCGGGGAAGAAGTCGGACATCACCTTAAGGCATTTCAGTGCAGTCACTGTGTAACTTCACCACCTTTGCAAACATCACCTGAGGCTTGAAACATGGAGCACAGCAGTGTTTGAGAGCACAGTGTTCCTTCCTCCACCAGGAAGGAGAGCAAAGACATTTTCTGCATGAGATAGGGAAATTTGACATGGTGTTTTAGGGCTCGCATGAAGGATTTCTGAATTAGAAATCAAGCCTTTAGGTACAGCTTTCTTGATTATATTTTCTACTCCAGGCAGCCATAGAGAAACCAACCAACCCTTTATCTCGGCAGCAGTAAACTTTCAGTCTCCCACAGGCATGTGAAAGAATTGCCTGGGAAATAAGAACACAGCTATGTTGTGGTCAGAGTTGAAAACCAAAATCCAATTCATCCAGAAAGCTGCAGGTTGCTTTTGCCCTTTTCCCGAAGGAGCTAAATTCAGTGGCACACAGCAGACGGAGCTGCCCAGCAGAGCCTCCCCCTTATTTGTTATTTTTAGCAATTTAGTCTGACAACGCCTGACAACTAAACAAGCTGAATATAGCAGGAGAGAAGGGGACTATCAGATATTATCAGAGAAAGCACACAGTGATAATCACTTTCTCCACCCCTAATGAAGAATCAATTTTCCATGTCTTTATAACATCATAGAGTTTGTTCTTTTTAAAATGCCACATTTAAAAACAGAATCCATCTAGCCCTACAATGGAAACGGATAACATTTCCTGAAACAAAGCATTGTTCCACCCCTCACATATCATGTTTCCTTAAAAACAAGGGAAGAAAAACATTACTTGGTTTTTCTCCTAATACTGCACAAACATTGCTGAACTAAAAAGAGTCTGTGCTCATCCCTTTAGAATGCTTTCAAAATAGATTTAACACATACCCCTTGTACCGTGAAACACAACAAGAATTTGATAGTATCAGGACTGGAAAAATCCAATGGCTCCAGCTAAGCAGGACGTGTCCCATGCCGGTGTGTGAGGAAGTCGATGGCACCAATCTCTGCAGGTTTGGGACAGCCTGCCAGCAGGCACAGCTACTGTGCCAGCAAGCCTGGGCAGTGTGTTTGGATTCCAAAGGATTAGACACAAGTTGTGAAGTTCCAAATGCCACACAGGTGCATACGGAATTGACAGGCTGAGAACATTGGGGCTGTTCAGCCTGGAGATAAGAAGGTCGTGTGGAAACCTCATAGCACCTTCCAGGACCTGAAGGGGCCTAGAGGGAAGCTAGAGAGACACTCTCCATCAGGAACTGGAGTGACAGGACAAGGAACAATGAGTTCAAACTGAAAGGGGAAATTAGAAAGAAATTCTTTACTACCTGAAGGTGGTGAGGCCCTGGCACAGGTAGCCCAGAGAAGCTGTGGCTGCCTCATACCTGGAGCAACCTGGTCTAGTAGAAGGTATCCCTGACACAGGGACAGAGGGGTGGAGTGAGATGATCTTTAAAATCATCCAAATCATTCCAACCCAAACCATTCTATGAGTCAATATATATACACTTAGATAAATTCACATCCACACACAGCTTTAACAAGCAGGGTAAAGCTACCTTTGGGTTGTCTTCAGATAACTTCTGCAGAATAACTAACTGCCCCCTCCTCCACACCCAGACCCCTTGGTGCTTTCTGAACACAGTTCCTCTCACCAAGCATAATGCCTGTTCCAGCCAAGCCTCACTTTCCCAGCCCTTTACAAGGGCAGGTCTGGCTGTCCTTGCTGCAAGGAGGCCCAAATCAGCAGGATCCCATCAATTTTCTGATGCTGCCTTGAAAAATACAATGCACTGCTTTAACAGTGGAGAAACCCATGAGAGGAAAGCGAGGGAATGACTGCAATCATGTACTGCAGTGGAGACTGCCAGAGGGAGAAGAGACAAAATTCCTCTCAGTTTTCAAAGTTCACTGGCAGCTGTGAATGTCAGCACAACCAGCCCACACCTCTGAAGCAAGCTAAAGACACATTTTCAGGAATAGGCAGCTGGAGATCTCCTTGCTATGCAGCTGGATGGATTTCCAGAAGAGTTCAGCAGTGAACCCAGCCCTCCTCTGCAAACAGCACCAAGGTAGAGGGGAGAGCATTTCTCAGATTCAGGCATGTATCAAAAAAAATACACATTTCACAATCCCTTGGCAATAATGTCACCACAGCAAAGCACAATTGCCTCAAGCTCAGCTATGTAATGAGATCAGCCACACCATGGGGTACTGGGGGATTACTCTGACCAGCCTGATTCAGCTGTGCAAAGTGAGAAATGTAAGTCATAAGGTAGTTAACAATGTAAAATATAAACCTAAGCTTCAAAACCCTTCCAGTTTTAATAATGAATGAAGAGATGTTTAACCTTTCTTGGTTAGATATTTATTTTACGATGATGTGGTGGAAGCACAAGGTCACAAAGCTTCGCATTCTTTCCTGCTTTGGTCACAACTTGTTTTCAGGACAGCAAAATCCCCTGCTCCTGTGATAAGTGCTCTCTGAGTCGGACTCAGGTGTTTCCCCTGAAATCTCACTTTCCAGCAGTTGTCAGCTTAAGTGCTTGTCCTCTTCCAAGGGGAATCCCAGGCCTAAGGAAAACCCTCTTCACAAAACTGCCACAGCCAACTGGAAGGAGATCAGTTAAAAGACAGACTTGAGTGTTTACTTAAAACAAACTTTTGAATGTGTTGGCATTCTGAACCCTACTATTCATTATTAAAAAGAAAAACCAACCCATGTGACAACCACCTTTCCACTCCAACCACCTTTTGAGACAGTCACTATTGCTGGAAACTTCAACTCAATGACCATAACCAGACATACAGCAGTGGAGCAGAAAAACACATTTGTGAAGAGGCCATTTCTGAGGTTTTGTGTTAGAATAGCAAAGGTTATAATTTGTGGGAAATTCCACCCATTCTGCTGAACTCAGTGATCGGGAAGTTCAGGAGGCAAGATAATTCCCCACCAGGAACAGGAAGAAACCCAGATGGCACAGCTGAAGGGCAGAGTAGCCAAGAAGCTGACCACAGCCCGCTGGAGCTGGCAGCAAGGGACCCCAGGAGCAGTTTATAAACAGGCTGCCAGCCACATCCCACCTGCTGCCAAACCCAGAGGTGCCACCAGCCACATCCCACCTGCTGCCAAACCCAGAGGTGCTGCCATGAAGTCCTCCAGCCCCAGTTGCAGGGCTGTCTTTGCACAAAGCCACTGGCATCTGGGATGGCTCCAAAGGAGCAAGGACACAACATTTTTTACCACATAACCATAAAAATTACCATGCCTTGCCTGCACCCCTCCTAGATACACAGCCTGTCCACTTGTTCAACCTGTGCAGAAACACAAACCCTCTTAAGAGTCTGGCACAGGCAACACTTCAGGCAACATCTGGGGATGGGCTTGCTCCACAGCTCCTCAGGCAAGCTGAGTATTAAGAAGGGATTAAAAAAAATAGACTCGACTTCTGCTTTAGTGTAAGTAGGAGACAACAGAGACGGAACTGTACAGGTCTGAGTGGTTTTGAACACAGACTTCCTATTCCTGCTTGTCCCTACTTATTTGGTCTCCACATCACTTTCTCCAAAACAATAACAGATGGGAAAAGCAGCTTGACACAACTTGGTCTTTGCTTTCTCTGTCACTCCCCAAAGACCAAGAAACAGGGATTTGTATTAATGATATTTTAGAAGAATTATAAAAAAAACCACACACTAACAGCCTTGGAAAAGTACATTTTGCACTTCTTCTCAGAAGAACTGTAAGCTGTAGACGCAGCCACAAGAAGATAGTCAAGATTCACTAGATAGCTTGATTTGAGCACTGGAACTTGCGCAGACATTACTTTTTATTTCCTAGATATCCTTCTCTGCCTTGAATACTCCAACCAGATAAACACAAGAACACAGAAGTGCTCTGACCACACGGTCAAAACAAAGTCCCATCTCCCCACAGATCCGCTCTTCAACGGCAGCCCCGAGCAGATGCTTAAGGGCAGAGTGTAAGGACAGGGCAGGCCTATACGGTACTTCCTCCTCATACTTTCCCACCCTCCAAACATTTTTAGCTCAGGGACTTCCTGAGCAGGATGCCATTTCTACATATTTGGTAATTCTCAATGGATTTCTCTTCCATGAATTTGTGCAATTGTTCTGAGCCAGTGTAACCTTTAAATACCCAAAGCACTGGCGAAATTTTACATCACTTATCTGCTGCAAATAACCACACAAACATCCTTTTGCTTGTTTTAGACCTTGCTCTTACTAATCTCATTTGAATCCCTCACTCCCAGTTTTCATACTGGGGCACAGAGCAAACAATCAATCCCTACTGGTTTGTAGATCTAGGAAAGGAACCAAGTGCCTTGAGTTACTTGTAGGTTACTTGTAACAGGCTCTCTGTTCCATCTAGTTACAATCCTTCAGCATGAAAAGTACCAGATAAAAACAAGAGATGTAGCAAAGAGCATCTTGTTGACCTTTAATGTTTTACTTTCATCATCACTTGCCAAAAACTTACCTCTAACTCCTTAATTTTTTCTTCAGCTATTCTCTGTTTTTCTAAGAGCTGATTGTGAATCACTCCTTTAGGCTGAAGAATAAACCTACAAGTGAAAAAGAAGAGACAGAAAAAAGTTGGGTGTTTTTATTTCAGTGTTCACCAGCTGTGCACCAAATCAAATCACCACCTCTGCTAAGTTTTCATCCTCATTCCCATGTTCCAGACAGAGACAGGAGAAATTGCTCTGACAGCTCCCCAAGCCCACCAGGCTGGCCCCCAAAGGCTCACCAGCCTCACCCGTGCTCTTGGGAGGATGAATGTGGACACAGAGAGATCTCCCTCTATCATTCAGTGTCCTTGAATGAGCTGGAAGCACTTCTGGCACACAGCCAGCACAGGGAGTCTGTCAGCACCTTCCCTTCAAAGGGATTTAAGTCAGTTGATGGCACAGAGTCAAGGAAGACTCTTGACAGGTAAGAGCTGTTTATTAAGGGTTTAGTGCACACAAGGTAAACAAACCCACACAATAAAACCAAAGCTTTCCACAGGGAGTTGGGGTTGCACAACCTGCACAAGAGCAGGCTCCAGAGAGACCTTACTGCAGCTTTTCAATGTATAAAAGGGGTTTACATGAAAGACAGAGGCTTTTTAGAGGGTCTGTCATGCCAGGCAAGGGGCAACAATTTTCAACTGCAACAGGCAAGGGTTAGGTTGGACTGAGGAGAAATGTTTTAGACTGAGGATGGTGAGGTTCTGGCACAGGTTGTGCCACAGAGAAGCTGTGGCTGCTCCATCCCTGGAAGTGTCCAAGGTGAAGCTGGACATGGCTTGGAGCAACCTGAGATAGTGGAAGGTGTTCCTGCCCATGGCAAGGGGTGGGACTGGATGGTCTGTGAAGAACCAACATCCATCTGTGATTTGACAAAACAGAGAGTGCTTCCAGCAGAACCTATGGAACTTTCACAGCTCCCACTTCTCAAGCCTTGACTTTAACTCAACCCCTCACTGATCTCCAAATTTCTACACTTTCACCAGCCAAAGGGTTTTTCTGTGAGGTGGGAAGTGGCTGCTTTTAACTGAAGTTGTGGCCACTGGTTTCCACTTGTTCTGTTTTCAATTTCCAAAGGGATTTGAAAGATGCATCCATAACATCTGAGTCCTGCTTTCCAACAAGCAGAAAGGTGCCTGCCTCACTCAGAGAAGGAGCACCAGCATTCAAAGCAGCTCTCCAGCACGTGGCACTGGCATCCCACAAAGAGGTAAAGGACAACTAAGTTCAAACAAATTTTAGGAACCCTCCATGGTTGTTTTTCACCCTTCCAGACATAAAGAATGTACAAGCTGCAGATTCACCCCCTTCCCTACTTAGAAAGTCCTCCAGGGGATTTAGAAGGAGCCTCCATGGGTCATACCAATGAGGTCAAGGTCTCCTCTAGCACCAACTAGGGTCAATGTCTTCCTGCCAGGTGACAGCAGCTCATGCTTCAACAGTTAAACTGAGCAGCTTTAGACAGGGCAGAATCAGAGTGCATTCCCCGTCTGCTACAGAAAAACCTGAAATCAGTTTGCAGAGTCATCTCCCACGACAAATGACATTATTGAAGTGTTTGCTCAGTGCCTGCTAAACACAAACACGGATCTGCCACTTGGCTGGAAACCCAGTGCCCTCTGCATCAGTAACCCAGCCAAAAGGAAAACTACCTGCCACACGCATTCCTGACATGCATGGGAGGAAAACCGTGGATAATTATAATAGGTTTCCAATTAAAACTCTCTTTGGGGTTGCTATTAACTGCACACATAAGCGCCTCCTCCTCCTCCCACTTCTTTCCCTGTTCCGCTTCACCTCCTCTTCTCCACAGGAGCTTCCGCTGCATCTTTCATGTTGCAATTTTCTCAAATCTCTCTCATTTTCCCCCCAGTCTTGGCTCATGCTTATTGCTGACATCATCTTTGCTCTCTGTCTGCTCCTGCTCTTACCAACAAAGCTCACTCAGACTCTCTTTGTCCCCTCAATCCCCCGTTCCCACTGGGAGGTGTCCCCACCATTCACTTGCACACAGTGGTGACAGTTCGGGGTCCTGGCATACAGCAAGACTGCTGAAATAACAACACAGGTGATTTATGAAAATCAAGTTCAAGACCACCCTTCTAGGAAAGAAGTTATTTTCATTGCTGTTAAATACAGAGCCTGGATCCAGACAGAGAAGAGGTACTTTTCAGGACCACCAGCAAACACATCATTCTGATGCCCTTACCTCAGGCATAGAACACCAGAAAAAAAAAATCAGCCTTCACATACACCCCCCTGTAAACTGAAATTTTGCCTTGCTTCTGCAGTAGCTGCCATTACTGAAAACCAAAGCTGCAAGATGCCTTTTGTACACAAAGTCACCAGTCCCTTCCCACGTCACTGCTTCCCTGAGCCTGCCTGTGTATGTGAACATTTCCTGAATTATTTCCTTTTTTTGTGGGGGCAGCAAAGAAGAATACAATCCCTTCTCATTTTCTTCCCCAAATTGTACAGGAAGATTGATCATTTTGGTTTCCCTGACGTCCCTGATCTAAAAAACAAAGTTCAACAGCAACACAGCTTGAGCAATTTTCCCCAGGCTGCAGCTGGGAAGGTCCCTGCTGGGTGACAGGCACTGGGCGATCCCGGCTGGCTCGGAACTGCTACAGGCACCAAAACCTCCAACAAACAACTGGCTGACTTCACTTTTATTCTGCAAATGTCAACAGCAGTCATCAGAGAAAATATCCTCCCTCCCACCCTCCTGCAATGCTCTGGCAGACATGCGACAGCAAATTAAAACTGGATGGCTGAAATTAGCACTGACGAGACTTCTGCGGGCAGCTGGGCACAAATACAACCTCCCTGATTTTGCCTGCTATAAGACAGTGGGCTGGAACCTGTGTCCGTTCACACACTTGCTCAGAAGCAGATCAAATGTCCCTGACTTGGGCAGCAGCATCCTGCAGGTCCTCATCAGCAATGCCTTTAAAGTGCCTTTAAAGCCACCTGGTTGAGTTCCCTGCCGCAAGACCGCGGAGCTCTCGGCCTCAAGTGCACAGGTGTCGCCCTGGAAGCTGCCAAAAGCTGGGTCTTTGAAAGCTGAATCCACACCCACAGTTAAGTGTATAAATCTGTGGCTTCGCTTTCCAATATAAGCAGGACTCAAAAAACGCATCAGTTTTTTTAGAGTCCAGTTTGGGATATACACGTTATGGAGATCTTGGCCAAAATTTTTACCTAAGGAAATAATGTGGTTTATGGCAGCACTTGGAAAAAGCAGAAGTTTGTTCTGCTCATTAGGTAAGAAGTGCTGCAGGGCACTTGTAATAAACCAGAATTTAAATTGAATCTAAATTTCATGTTTCCAATTACCCTAAGTAATACATCAACTTGATGATTTTTAGGTTTTTTCCTCACCAAGCTGGAGAAACAGGACAGTGTCATCCTGCTGCCTGGTTTCAGTTAGATGTAGTTATTTTATGTACAGATTTTCAAGCTTGTGAAAGAAGCATGGTACATTCTGATAAGTTCATTTTCCCTGAGTTTGTGAAGAAGCCTTTCAAACACTTGAAGTTAATTCAGTGCCTGGAGGTTCACCACCAGCTGAGAGCTGGCCCCATATGAGAGTCACTGAGACGAGGAGCCCCTTTCTGCTCAGTGGTGCAGAGCCTAGCAGGTGACACAACTAATACTGACCCAAGAGATGCTTTCACAGATCTGCTGGAGTTCATGGGAAGCTCCAACCCCCCAGAATTTGTGTGTTGAACTGGGATGGAGCTTAAGCACTGCTAATCCAGAGAAGCTACAAATGAAGTCTTCTCCCAGACATGAGAGTTCACCCGTATCCGCCTGCTCTCGCTGAAGCGTCACAGCACACACTCATAGACCTGTCAAACATGACACCTACACTATCAAACATGAAACAGTGATTCAGAAACATGTTCTGCACCACAGTGGCAATTACAAAGCTTAGTAACAATCACTTCTTCACACAGGAACTTTTTCGCTGTTGTTAAATTAACACCAGAAATATCTGGGTCAGAATGGAAAAGTTCACCCCATCTCGCCTGGCCACCCGTTTCAAAGAGAATAGCTAGTAAAAATAGAACAGGACTTGCTAGTAATTCTTCCAGTGTCCAAAGATTATGGTGAAAACTCAAACCAAACCAAAGAAAATTAGAAATGAAAGCTGCAGAGGAGGGGGGCTCCCTGAGGACAGCAGTGTTCAGCCAAACCAGGGCTGCCAACAAGAACTGCTCCATGGAGCAGAGCCAAGTGGTTACCAATCGACTGCACCTACATGCTTGGCCTCCCAGTGACTGCTGGTTCTCAAGTGCAATATGAGAACAAAAATAGAGCACAAGGGAACTGAAAGAGAAACCTTGCTCTAAATATTCCCACTTGTTTCTATTTTCCTCCTTTTGCTAACTCCACACCAGGAATTTTGTTTCCTCAAGGCAGAGAAAGTGGTTTATATACACTCTCTGAGGCTCACTGCTAGTTTCTTTCTGAAGGGATCTCTCACCCCTTCACAATTCTATTTAATTAATTCACAATTTTCTATTATAATTTTCATTTGATCAGTGTTTATATTGCACACCCAAATGGCCTTCAGACTCTTGTCAGGTCAGCAGTGCTGCCCACTTCATCATCTGTCTGCTCCTTTGTGTCACACATACACACCCACAAAGTGATGATCGTCCAGTGTAAGTAATTCCATAACTCAGCCTGTTTGCACCAAAATGTACTGTTTACTTGACTTTGAGACATAATACTAGATTCTGAAGGATTTGCCTTTTAATGAATGAGGTTATGGAGATGTTTGTTCAGCACATGCCACTCTTCGTTATGACATACAAGTCATTAAAGTTATTAAAGGTGGAGTCACAGTGATGCTCATAGTTCAGGTTTTCCATGAAGAATCCCTACTTTCAATTACTTGCAACTGCAACAGACTTCAGCTTTTACAGCTGGAGCTTTCAGTGGCAGGCAGCTGTCCTGGGCACGAGCAGCCTCTCCTCTGCCCTTGGAGTTAGGAAATGTGGTCCCAGTGTCTCTCCTGCCTGGCTTGCCTGTGCATGAGGCTC